CTGCTGTCTTACATATGGCCTCAGTTCTCTAAGGAGTTCTGTCTCCTTTGGCCTGAGTGCTGTTTTCATGTTGGGATTATAACCAGGACTAATCAGAGTTACTGATCAATCTGAATCCTCAGTAATGGGAGGGAGAGACAGAATGGCCCAGCCTATTTGAGCCCTACTGAGTGGACTAGTAGGACATCCAGGACCTCTTGTCACCTGCCACTTGTGAACATCTCCATGAGTTCCTGATCTGCCCTTTGCCCACGTGGTCTTGGTTCAGTAAAGATTTGGGTAGATGGTTTCAAGGATAAGGGAGGTTGGGCTGCTGCCTTCCTGCATGCTGCATTTTACCTGTGAGTTTAGAAAAGGATATGTTACACTTCAAATTTTGGAAAAAATCTTTTATTCAAAGAAACACATAGAATTCCTTCCTGTTCACTGGAAACACAAAGCCAGCAGATGAGAACCAGGAATGAAAACAATTATAAATATCCCAGAATAGCTGCACTGAACACAAACTGAATAAAATTGAAAAAGCAAGCAAGCAACATAGATCATTTGAAGTCTACTTGTTCCTGTAAGGGTTTCTGTATGAATGAACTGCAATTACTCCAGGAACACGGGTGATGCCCTGATTTTTGCCACCCCTAGGTAATACATATGAAATTATTGGGAGGGGATTGGAAAGTTAGGTGTAAAGTGGCTTGAAAAATTTCCCTGGTGCCCAGAGTTTGAGTTATTCTGAAGCCTCTGGTAAGCCTGCTGAGCAACTGAAATCATGTGGAGGACTGTCAAAATTGCTCATGCCTCCCCCCACCCCCCTAAGTCATTCCAGGGGCCAGGATGCTGCTTGGACTCCACAGCACCTCCCTATAGGACCCCTGCTTCTCAGCACAGATACCGCACACTGAAGTTAGGAAGACCTCTATGAAGATTATTGCACATTCTCTACAAAGGAATCCTTTTGCTGCAGAAATGGGACTTTTATGACTCCTTTCTGCTACATTCAAGGGACTGTATTGAGGATCTTCGCCATTTGTGCAAAAGATTTCCTTCTTGCGTGCTTACTTGGGGTTAAGCAAACAACTTATTTTTATATGGCCCTCAAAACCAGCTTGAAAGCACCAGAAAATCATCTGCAGCAAGCTGTGTTCTGCTACCAGCAGCAAAACAGAGAGAGACGTCAAAATCTGTGGTTTTATTTAGAACAACTGTGCCTAGGACAATTATTACAATTTCTGGTTGACAGGCACAGAAATCTCATTTGCCTGCTCAAATTCAGTTCAGCAGTCCAAAAAGGACAGGTAAGTGTGATCACCTGATGGTCACCCACATAAAAGAAGCTGCAATGGAGATTCTCCTCCAGGCAGACTGCTGTCACCAGTATACCTTACTGGCAGTGTTAGCAGAGGAGAGCACCCCTGCCACGGGTGGTGGGTATTTTTCTTCAGGATGGACACACCTTGGGTGTATATTCACAGTGTTACCGTTCATGTTCTATTTATTCTATGAATAAATTCACAAACAGGGTTGGAATTAACACTTGTAAGAAAGAGAGTAACTCCCTGATGAACTCCAATCTAATCTGCCTAGTAGAGAAACATACATTCTTGGGGGTGGGGATTGGCTTCAATATGTCCCCTTTTGCAGTAGTATCAAGATCTCTTTTGTTCTTTATGTCTTTATTGATGTCAGGCTATGACATGAACTGCACACAGCAGGTTTCGGGACCCGACACCTTTCCTATAGCAGGGTTTAGAATGTCCATAAAACACAAGATTGCTCATTCCTAAATCAAGGAAATTAGTAAAGCTGTTAAATATAGTAGATTAGCCAACACATAAAAGAAAAACCCTGTATTCATTAATTCCTTCTGGTACTCATTTGATGTCTTTCCCAAAACCTGTCAGAGCTATCTGCACTTTCTGATTTGTGTTAAGCAGCAAAAGATGCTCAGTCTAGCTGCCAAGAGCTTTTAGCAAAGGTTGGCAGGCTTAATAGGTTGTTTTCTTTGTTTTATAAAAATATTTTTGACTCGTGGATATTCCAGCTGAATTCTAGCTGGAACTGGTAAATTTCCTACTTTAGATGAGAAGTGCACAGGTAAAGCAATGAGAGATCACTTAAGCCTGTCTAGAAATTACTGTCCTCACACACTTGTCAGTGATCTGCTGCCAGGGTAGACTGTACTGAGTGTGTGTGCCCCGGTGTGTGTATGAGGAGGAAAAACCAAACAAAACAACTGGCTCCCAATCTGTCCCTGCTGCTCTACTCTCATAGACTGCCAATGCTTCTGGCATCAGTGCTGCCGGTATTGATGGGTGTAGATTTGTCATCTGAACTGCGAAATTTTAAACCTGAATTTACAAAGCACTTTGCTGTGACAAGAAGAGTTCCAAAGGTCCACCCAGTCCAAAGGGGATTTTCCGTTCTCTTGGAATATCTTGTTTTACTAGGGAGACAAGATTCCTATCCCTGTAAACTCAGGTGAAGTGCCATAGTCAGCTCTTTTGGAAAGTTAATGGACTAAAGAGGAAAGGACATGGGCACAAAAGGAACATGTTCTTGTTCATATTGTAGCAACAAACTGCCACTAGTTCCTTTTACAACTTGCTAAGGCATCACAGACCAGCAGCCCTGTGGTGTCGGGCTGGTGACAGCTGTGGCTGTGTAAGAAACTTCAAGAGCGTGAATGAGGGGCTGCATTCTGCTCCTCTCCACCTCAGTTTTGGAAGAAGGAAGAGTGTAAATTCAACGACCTTTCCCTTTCTTGCCCTTTAATGGTGGTAGCATCCCCAGAGAAAAAAATCCCACATAACAAAGGTGTTAGCCTGTCTCAAAACACTGTTTGAGCCGAACTATGTGGATTTGCTGTAGGTGTTCAGTAATTTTCACACAATCACAGAATGTCAGAAAAAGACAATGTCTAATTCTTCCTCATGCCCTCATTTAGATTGAGTAATTTTCCTGTAACAGACAAAAAGCTTGATTCTGTGCTGCTTTGCATTGAGTATGCTCGTGTTAGACTATTACCGGGCCTTGCCTAAGGCATTGAGAATCTTTCACTTTTGCACACAGTTGTCACGATAAGCTTATCATCTCCTAATTTCCATTTTTCTTCACCTTCTTTTATTAAGTGTTCAGACTACTCTTGCACACGAGAGTGGTTTCAAGTGGCAGTGCTATAGGGATCCATCTGAAATGTGGCCTGTTGCTGAACAGTGGTCCTGGCCAGAAAGGCTCCTTTCACTGTGATTCTGGTATATTCCTGAAGAGAGATAGCCAAGCGTGACACATGGTGCTGTGATGAACCCACCTGGGTGCTGCTGTGGGCATTGTCCTTGTCCCCCTTCCAGTGGAGGGTCCCTAGCACGGGAATGTTACCCTGTCACTTAGGGCTGCCCTGGGGATGGAAAATTTTCCACTTGGGACCAGGCAATGCCATCAAAGTTGTACATGAACAGCATGGCCTAAACCCATCTCCAGGGACCAAATTCAGCGATCAAGTGGAGAGAAGCCTAAGTTACATGCTGAAAATGTCCCTCTATGGGTCCTTCCTTGGAAGGGATCAGAAAAGGATGTTCATTTCCCCAGCTCTGACTTCTCTCTTAAATCTGACTTCAGGTTTAAGGGACAGATAAGAACCAAATGCAACTGCTGGGCACCTCCACCTTACACCACCTCCCCAGCTCCTCCTGCTCCTGAATGTCAGGGAGCTTGGTGTGCTCAGCCATTTCTACGGCTGCGAATCCATCTTCATCCGTTATTTCCAGGACAAGCCCTTGTTCAGCATTCTTATCACTTATCTGTCCTTGATTTGATTTCCTATTTGCCCCCCCCAAATTCAATTTCCCAGCAAATTATCCCAGCTGCTCGCAAGCCTCCCGCGAGCGCAGACAGCGGGCTGCGTTCCTTTGTGGCACACGCCGCTCTCCGCGACCAGCGCCGCCCGCCCCCTCCCTCAGCGAGGAGCCGCGGGTCACACGACGGCGGCGGCCCGCCCCTTCCGCGAGGGGGCTGCCAGGCCAGGCCTGCCGGCAATGGAACACAGCGCCGGCTGCCCCGCAGGCTGCGAGCTCCGCTCGGCCCCGCCACGCTCATGGAAGCGCACTCGCCGGGTGGGGCCGCCAACATGGCGGCGGGCGCTCCTCGCACCGCCGGGCTTTGTACCGGGCTGTGGCCCCGCCCGGAAACAGCGACACCCAGCGGCGCCTCGGGCCCGCCGTCCCCGCCCGCCCTCGCCACACCAGCGCCCGCCGGGCCGGCCCCGCCGCGCTCCGCCCCTCACGGCCTCTGCGGGGCTCAGCGCGCTCGGTGCGGCGGGGAGATTTGGCGTGGCCTTGTCCCCCGGCGTTTAAGGAGTCGGTGTGACTCACGGCAGCCATCCGTGAGAGCCAGGTGCTCCGCTCCTGTCACGGCGGAGCAGCAGGTCCATCCCTCAGTCACTGAGCACTGGAGAAGAACACTGCGAGGGCCCGTGATCATTGAGTCACGAAATGATTTGACTTAAAAGGGACCTTTAAAGGTCCTCTACTCCAACCCTCCTCTACCTTCCTCTAGGTCAGAGCCCCGTCCAACCTTGACCTTGAGGGATCTGTCCCAGGGATGGAGCATCCACCACCTCTGGCCAACCTGTCCCACTGTTTTACCACTGTCATTGTAAAAACAACTTCCTTACATCTGGTCTAAATCGACCCTCCTTTAATTTAGCCCTTGTTCTGTTGCAACAGGCCCTGCTAAAAAGTTTGGCCCCATCATAATCTGCTGTTTTCAAGTGCAGTAGGTGGTGAGCCATGACAATGTGATAATCAAATGATTCTTTTCTGTGCTTTTTGCAATTCTGTGCATTCAGCTGACAATTTCAATATTCTCTGTTAGGGATTGTGAAAGCCTTTGTCATTAATATAAAGATTATTTTTCTTTATCTGCTTAGATATTTGTATATTTTGCCCAACAAAAATATGTTTACAGTTGGATATTTCTAAGAATGAAAACACAATCTAGACAAAATCTCAGTATCTGCTCAACCATCTGATTAACTGTTTATTGATATAACAATGTAAATATAAAAACTCTGAAATCATACTTGAAAAAATAAAAGAGCTGCTGTATTTAAGTTGAACACTCTGAATACATAGCAGATTTCATATTCCAAATAGATAGTTTTGCATAATGCAGTACCTGAAAGGACCCTGAAGCAGTGCACATTTCAGCTTTGCATTAAATGTGGGCCTGACCCTGTTCGTGTAATACAAAATAAAATAATTGTCTTTCATGCATACCAAAGACCAGTGATTTAATACAAGTTGACCGAATGGATCAGGTCAGGGACAATAACCAGTGAATGCTGATGGGTCTGCAGAGGGTACGAAGAGGATGTATGGAAGAAATTGAAAGAATCACTTATACAGCAATTACTGTAAAAAATGCACATCTGCAGTTTCCAGGAAGCTCAGAATCCCCATGAAGTTCAGTACCAACTCTCATCCCTATGCTGGGATGAGATGGATTTGAGAGCACTGAGTTTAACTGAGGAGTTTGCTTTGCTATCCCACTCTCCATTCCTACAAATCCCCAGTGTCTAACAATGCAGTTAGTCTTGGTTTCGGTTTTCTATTGGAAAAAGCGTCCTCAGGTGACAGCTCCATGCACTCTCCAGAACTTAGTTGTTCTAAATATGGATCAGGGTCTGACTTCAGGTGCTTTTCAATAAGCTCTCTATTAATTTGCACCGTTTCCTACTGAAGTATTAGGGTGGGAACTTTATTGCCATCAGCTGCAATACTGTCTACTGATATTCTGAAGAGTTCACGTGGATTTTTAGTTTTTACCTTCCCATAGGTGTCCTGCCAATGGCCCCATGCACATTTTCCCTGGGCTGGCACCTCCCTTGCTGCCTGCTGCTTGTGTCAGAACAATCACTCCTGTAAAATTGCCTTTGGATGAGGTGTTCTGTTTTTCTTCATAACAGTAGTTAAAAAAATTAAATGATTCTTAAACTATTTCACTGAGATTTTTGTTCCAGTTAGTAATCCCGAAGTCTTACCGGTGATCTACAGACCAAAATGGCTCTATAGTAAATTGTCACAAATATTTGCAACAAACTTTTGTCATTTCCCTCAGAAGGATGCACAGTCAAAGAGAACAAGTTTGCCCTCACAGCCTTACATAGGCAGGTCTCTGGGATGTGTTTGCTTTTTGCAGGACCCAGCTCCCTCCAACCAGCACCCTGAGTTGAGGAGCTAAAGAGGGCCATGTCAAGGCTCTAATGATGGGGTTCCAGAACTGCAGCACCAGGATGCAGGATAGGGGTTCATGGAGGGGGGTGATGGAGGCCATCACTACACATGGTGAATCCATGACTGATTTTTATAACACTTTCTTCTTATAACATTAGTGTGAAAAACTGTAGCCTGTGTCTTGGTCACTTGGTGGGGTGTGCAGTCGTCACTGTCTGTGCATGTGGTTCATAATTATCCACCTTCACCTAGAGTTAAAGGAAAGTTGTTATGAGTATAGAAATCCAGAGCCAGAAATAAAAACAGCTTGTTTTCCTTTTACTTGCAGGGAGAAGAGAATTCCCTTGATTTCAGTAAATCTGTATGTGTAGGGAGCTGCTCATTGCTCCACTGCTTCAGGCTGACCACTTTCTTGATTACCTTTTACTTGTGTAACCATGGCTGTTTAAGCCCAAATATAAATGGTCTTTATACACCTTGGTTCCACTGGGATTAAGGCACCCACCACTGCTGGAAGATCTGAGGTGTGACACTGCAGCTAATGTGCTGCAGCCCCGCTCTGTTCAGTGCCTGGTGCCCACAGCAGAGCATCACAGGGGCCCTCACAGGCTTGGGAAAGCCCAGCTCTGCAGGAGGGTGCCCTCACCCTGTGTGTGATGCTTGCATTGAGGGTGCTCCTCAGCACTAACCCCCCCTCTGCACACTTCCTACAGCTCCTCCTCAGCCAAGAGCTGGCTTGGGCCTTGCTGTCAATGCTGAAGTATAACAGTGTCTAGTTGTATGTAACTGGTGTTAGCTTTTTAAAAACTATTTTAAGAATACGGGCCTTGAGCATCTAGATGCTCCTGTAACTTGATAATAATGGAAGACAATGTTACATGCGAGTGCTTGAATTATAGGAATTATTTCAGAACAGTAGGACGGAAATGGCCCTCTTCTCAGCCCCTTCAGTTTATTGAAACTGGTTGTCTTTTCTTGTTTTCCTTAATACACAAAACCCACTATTTACATCTAATTTATTATAAGCACATGTTGAGTAATAGACCATCAAGCTTTTGGAGCTTCTATTTTCAGTTACATTGTACCATTGCTGAATAAGAAATGCAACTGCTGAAATTTGTTTTCCATGGTATGTTGATTAAAAGCTGCTTCAGTTTAAAATTTCTAACCATCTAAAATGGCCAGCCAGAGAGTTTATTTCCTACGCTGTATAAATAATAGATTTTGCTGTTGATATGTATCCGTCATCAAACTAGGTTAAATTCTCAGTTGGAAGTGTAAATTGTCTTGCAGTGAAGCTAACTAGCTGGAACTAATTTTAAAATGGGTATAGTGCATAATTATGGTAACCTAGTGTACAGGGACTGATCCACCTGAATTGATCATATCTGATGTAGAAAAACATGAATAAAAATTACATCGAAAACATAGCTGCCTGCTTATACATTAAATCCATTTTTGTTTAGGGATTTAAATCCCTTTACCTAACAGAAAGCAAGTGCCAAAGTTGAATATATTTCACACTAGGTTTTTCGGTGAATGCTTTAAGCATAGCCATTGGCAACAGTTTATGGATAATTTTGCCTCTGGAGAGGAGGAGATGTCCATGGAAAAAGTGAAAACATTCAAACAAAATTCATGGATTTACTGCCTTTAAATACTTTAGATTTCGAGTAACAGGGAAAGACATAGCAGGAAAAAAAAAGGAAGCGGCAATGTTGATTTCCATGATGGGAAACTTTTTGGTAGAAAGGAGGTTGCCAGCAGAAGGGTTCAGAAAGAATGAACTGAACAGGTGAAGCATTGGAAGGAAGTTGGTGAAAGACATGGAAGGAAGTATGAAAGGGGAGATAATTTAAAGGGATTAAATACAGAGAGACTTGCCATTCGTGCTGGAGTCTGAGGATATCTGAACTAGAGAGGAACTGGGGGAAGGGATGAAGCCTTTGAACACAGAGAAATTTATGGACCTCTGAAAGCAGAGATAAAGATAAGGCCTTTCAAAGATGGCTGAAGATGAAAGACTCACAATTAATCTAACTTTGGGAGATATATCTAGCTAAGGGAGCTGCAAGATTTAAAACTTCTGTTGCTGCTGCATGACACGTGTTATGGTGTTGTGTCTCCCTGGGTAACACCCTGTGGCTGGATGAAGGAGGATTCCAATTACCTTCCAGCTCTCTGCCTTGCCAGGCTTATATTGTTTCTCCAGTGTTATTGACCAATCATGAGCTTCCTGACATAACCAGAGTAGTCAGGCTTTGCTATACAGTTACTTTTTCACCTTAAAAAGAAAGAAGAAGTACTTGCATATAATATTTACCTTGAATGCAGCTCATCAAGAATCCAACTGAGTTGCTGAAAGGCTCTGTGGGTATCAGACTGCTGATTTGTTATTTGCATGCAGTGGTAAGACAGGTGCTGAGACTTTCACCATGACCCTCAAGTAACAGAAGTAGTTCTCTAACAGCAGCTATTGTTTGTTTCAGTTTGATGAATGCCAGGGTAGCAAGCAGCACTGGGAAAAACACAAATAAGAATGTAACATCTTTACAAATACAGTAATTTCTCCTATGCCCAAATCATCTTGGAGAAGGGGGAATTGTTGGCTGCACCTAGCTCTGCTAAACTGGAAGGGATCAGAGAGGTCACTGAGTCCAAACGTTTGCAGTTGTGGGCACCTTGGTTTCTTAAGAGATTCTTCAAGTCTGTGTTTAAAAGCCACAAGTAAAAGATCCCTGCCTCTTCCACTGAGGAAATTATTCCACAGGTTATCATAATTCATGGTCAGGAAGCATTTCTTGATACTCAGAACATGTTTTTGCTTCTCAGTCACTCTCTGGACTCTGCTGTTCTCTGTGAATCCTTCTGAAAAACACCTTTCCTTCACCGGTGGTCTTCTTCAAATATTTGTAGGCTGTTATCATGTCCCCCATTAATCATTTCTTTGTCAAGCAATTTATATATTTAACTCTTCTAATCTCTCCTCATAAATCAATCCTCTTAGTCTTTGGATCATGTTTGCTTCTCTTCTCTGAACTCTCAAATTTGTCAATATCCAGAAATGCATATAATATTCCAGATCGGACGGTACCAGCACCATGCAGAAAGTGGCTATTTGTTCCTTCCTCAGGGATGTGACACTATTTACTCTGTTCAATACCATACTGGCCTTTGCATGCCGTAGCACATTACCAATTCATGTAATTTAGTGTGAGCTATCTCCCTACATTTCTTTCATCATTATTGCATCTGAGATTTCTCCTTCCTGTTATTCCTCCTCAGGTGCTTTCCCAGCCTGCATTTGTTCCAAGTTGAGTCTCCTTTAGTTATTTTCTTTCCACGGTTCTGTCTTCTTTAGGACATTCTCTATTATTTTCCTTGTACACTGTCTTTCTTACAGAGTGTATGCAAGTTTCAGCAAAGTGCTGTGCACTTTCATTTCCAGTTTATCAATAAAGAAGTCTGACAGACTGTTCCTAGCAGTCATCCACATGGTAGCCAGGAGACACTTCCTACCATCTCGCTACACTGCAGCTTATTTCCTGTAATTTCATTACCTCAGCAACTTGAAAAGCACATGGAAATGGCCAAACCAATGTGAATTACTTTTTCAGCTAAGATCCTGTGAGACATAACATCACGCCACTATTAAAGCTTATCTGGTCTTGTGATAGTCCCCTATCCTTGCTAAGGGCCATGTACCCAAGGCTCACTGAAGACAAGAGTGACCAGTGGGAACATAAAGTGGATTTATGAGAGAGAGTCTGTCTGCAGTACCCTTGCTGTTTAAGTTGGTAATGTTAATATTTTCCTTTTTCAGTTATCTGGCTTATGCACAGTGAGCATAAAGGAGTTTAGGTAATTCTTTTAAGTTCTGTATGATGCAGGTTGTCCAGATTTTTTTATTTCTTCACATTTCCTTAATGTGTTTCCCTATATGTCCTTTATCAGTTGTTGCAGTTTCCTAGTTTCCTTTAAAGGATCTTCATCCCACCCTCCCTCAGTGCTCCAGGCATTTCTTCTTGGTTTTCCCTACCGACAAAATACTTGAAAAGGAACTTGATGTCAGAGCCATTACTGAATCTTTTGTTTATTCTCTTCATGTGTGAAAGGGTTGGTTCTCACTAGCATTTCTTTCCTTCAAAGAATACTTATTAAAGTATTTGAAAGCGCCAGGGTCAATCTCCTTGAACTCTTTGGTTAACATGGAGTTTTGCAATATGTTTTTTCAGTTGGTTTGGGAGGATTGGATGTTTTGGGGAAGGCTGTCTTTTGGGCAGGGAATTGATTCTTAGGTGCGTTTATATTTGGCTTGCAATTCTTGGTTAACCAAATAGTAAGAGGAGAATAATTTTTATTTTTATATTGCTCCACCATTTCTGTAGGGAAAATGAAATCTTTGTTGTGAACAAAATTTTGCCCCATAATTTGTTACCAGTCTTATTGTGCTGAAGCACTGGTGAATTTACACTGTTTGAAATTAGCATAACTGACCTGGATTTCTTATGCTAGACCCTGGAAGTGGATTAGAGTATATCTAGTTTTTCTTCATTTCATCATTTCCATGTATAATTACAGTTAGTGATCTCCAGAATAAGATGTAATTGAGTGATTTTGCACTCCTTAAATTACACAACTAAAAAAATCATTAAAAACGTAGCCTTGGATGACAGTAACTTCTTCAAATAATTGATGAGAAAAGGAGCAGAACATGATAGCTATCAGAAACGAGTCTTGGCTCTCAACACAAAAAGGAAGTAAGAAACATAGTGAAAGACGAATTTATGTCTCATTTTGCCTCTCTGACACTTCTTTTGGTTTGAAAGATTTTGGTAAGTGATAAGTAATCAGCATAAATGTCTTGAGGAATAGACAGATATTACTATTTCTCTTATTAAAGATGGGAAAGCGAAGTGATGGCAGTGAGGCAAACCAAGCATGTGGCATGAACAAGACCTATAGTGAGGTAAAATAACCTCTTTCTTGTTCTCTTTACCCAACCTACTTTGCCATTGCAATTCGGTATTTTAAAAAAAATAACAAGCACACAAAAGCACTAAGAAATAATGTTGCATTGTTAGGAGAAGGACATGAGACCAATCTAATAATTCATATTTTTAATACTTAACATTCTGAGTTATATTCCTGGATAGAGCAATTTTTTGAGAAGCTGGCTGGTTCTATCGGCATTTAAGTTATTAGGAATATTTTTACAGTGACTAATTTGATTACATGTAGGGCTTACTCTGCCAGAATTTCCTTGGAATATGCTATAGTGATTGTCTGTAGCCCCCTCAGATATGCTAGCAGTGCACTGTAGCCAGGTTAATTGACAGAACCATTGTTTCACCCCACTGTATGTTGTCCTTTCCCCATACTGCTGGATGCAGCTAAAGTTCAATACTGTCTATACCAAGTCTGCTGTTGATTTAAATGTGCTATGAATCCATCATGCTTATGCTGAATGGACTGAAAGCAGCGCGTGTTTTGTTTTTTTTTTTTTTTGCGTCTGTCATATGATGTTCTGCTACAATCTTGTGCCTTAAATGTAAATCTTATCAAAGAAATGGATAAAATTGTGAAAAGCACCATACCAAGCAAGTCAGGTCTCTGGCTTTCTTTTGATTCTATCCTTTTAAACAGAGGAATGTCTGATTTTATATGGAATGCAGTAAATATCAATGTTGATAGAAATAGAATTTAAAAAAAGTATTCTTGGCTTACTCAGAGATAAGAAGGAAAGCGATGTCAATTAATTGTACTGGCTGTTCAGAGCCTGCATGAAATGAATGGCTAGTTGCAGTCATGTTTTTAGAAAATAGGTGACTTCCTTGTAAAACTTTATCATAGTTGGCACTCTTTCTCTTATTGAAAAGAAACAAAAGACTGGTCTGGCATGAAGCCTATACTACATTTTACCTTTAATGGAGATCTCTTCAGATCTAAGTTTTAGGCAGACTCATGAGTTATATTGCAGCAAAATTCCATCTTTATTGCTTGTTATGAATGTGAGTTTTATGGAAAACAGGACTCTCAAGCTAACAGCTTTGTGCTCTTGTTAAAATTTAAAGCTTTTCTTTTTTTTTTTTTTAACCTTGGACTAGCTGAGTATTGTTTCCTCACAGTGTGCAAGCTTGAGAAATGAAAGCACCTGAAGAATAGTCTGCATTTAGGTGACTAACAGCAAATGTGTGTGGTCTGAAGATGGAGCAGGCAACATTGAAGTGTTGGCTGTTTTGCTGGCTGCCTTCACTCAGAATAGGTGTCGTGTGGGGCTCCTTTCCCTTTCCCCTGCACAGCTGCTCAGGAGATGCCATTGGTGCATGCAGAGTCATAAAGGTTTAATGCCTCCCAGTTGTGGACTGATTGAACCTCGTGGTTGGTCGGTGCCAGCAGCAATATTTCAGCTCGACCCTCGTTCTCTGCTGGGATGGAGTTGGTGGTGGCTGTGGGCACCGGGAGCAGCTGGGGGCACAGCGAGGAGGTTCTGTCCGGCCCTGGCCCAGCAGCACAGCTCTCACGAGGGTGCGCCAAGCTGATTTTGTGGGTCTCCTCTTCTAGTCTTTGTGCAGTTGAATATGAGTTGTCTGAATTTATTGTTAGAAAACCCCCTCTGTTACTTGAAACATGTTCTTCGTGCTTTCTGATGTTTTTTTCATTACACTGAAGAAGAATGTGGTTATATTAACATTTGATTATCTCTGGTGTTTTGCCTCTGCTGTTACATTTCTGTAGCTGATGTTTTCCTTTTTTGGCCTGAAACTTTTCCCCGTGTTGTGCGGCCCCTGTCCCTTGCTGTGTGCGCTGTAACCCCTGGCAACACCCGGAACCTCGGCACAAACACGATGGATGGTGGCTCCCCGCGCAAGAGTGCACGTCTCCGGCGCCCACCCAGCTGTGGACACCACCCCGGGGGGCCGTGTGGCCCGACATGCTCCCTCACTGGCTGCCAGCAAGCCCTTGTCCCGAGCCGGGCTTTGTTCATTAGCAGCAATGCAGCTAATGAAGTTGCTGTGAACTTCCTCGTGGTTTACAGCATGTACAATTTTCAAACTCGTCCATCATTGGCTTTATTTTGTTTCGGCGGGTTTCACTGACATCAATAGTGACACAATGAGGTCAGCACTGAATTCTTCTGAAGATCTGTCCTCTAAGGAATTTGTTTTTCCCTGGCAAACCAGTAAATAAATAAATCTGGTGCTCTATAGTGATTTAGCTTATTGAGACGCTTCAGCTCAGCAGTGGTGTGTGACTTTCAGAGAAGACCTGGTTTTGCCCAGTTGGGTAGCTGGGTGGGCAGAGGAGCAGCAAGGTCAGTTCCTCTGTCCAAGGGCTTCACCAGGAGAAGGATGGATTTGGGTTGGAGTCAGGCATGTCCTGGATCTGCAAATCCAATTCAGCAAGAAACATTATTTCACATTTTGTCTTATGCTTCTGCATCCAGAATGCATTGAACAGCAACACTGGTTTCAAATGATGCTTCTGATAGTGAAGCAAGGAAAAATGGGGTGTTCTTAAGGAAGGGTGGGCAGCTATTTCTGTTGTTGTCTATGTCTGTGTGGAGACAACTCAATGGAAGCCCCTGGGAGCATTTGAACACAAAAGTTGACCCACTGAGTATTTTGCCATCTGCCTTCTTTTGGAAGAAATATTCCAGAGAAAGTTGGGAAAAAGTCATGAGTTAGCATTGTGATATTATTTACTGAAGATTTATTGCCTTTTGATGGCAGTCTTTCAGCAGAAACTCATGAGTAGTTATGTTGTGAAGGAATTAGGAACTTTTGTGGCTTGTCTTTAATTTACAAATCAGCAAGAGTATATCTCTCTGAGGTGACATGTGATCTTGAGTAATTTACATTATATGACATGTCAACTTTCTCCTGTGTGCAAATTGCCCTCCAGGAATGTGACAAAATGGCAGTCACTCACATTTAAGTGCTGGCTTGTAACACAAAATTTAGAGCCAACTCAGAAGTTTTTTAGATTTGTGAGTGGTCCCATTAGAAAAGAAGACATCCAAAAGCTGAATTTGAATCAAACTGGACTATCCGCTGTAATTTCAATTTGTTCACTCATCTCGTCTTTCAATAGAACTTACATTTTTGAAAGACTTTTTTGTGTTCAGTACTTCTTTCTTTAGAAACACCCTCTCACATATTTAAATCCTTCCATATGTCTATGCACTTTTAATTTTTGTTACATTTTTTATCTTATTTTACTTTCCTTCAAGATTTGAACAGTATGTTAAATATGCATATTTGTGTTGGTTGTCTCCATCCTTATTGCCTAATTAGGAGAATATTTTCCTATTTGTGCCTGGTAATATCAGATTTCTAAAATAATTCCATAGATCTGGACTTACTGTGAGGTTCTCTTTTGGAAGGAGTTATTGTCCTGATGAAAATACAACCATCGTATCAATTTAATATTCAGTCTAACTCCCTGAATCCTATGTTTATGGCAAAGGATCAAGTCAATAAGGCTTTATGACTTTGTCACAGTAGAGTCCTTTCCTCATTCAAGAAATAAATCCCAGGCCACACAGAAACCCATTATGTATTCTTGATATGTAAACCATTCCAGAATAAAATTTAATAACAGTAATGAAACTAAATCAACATGACAAATTTCAAATAGTGCAGTGGAACATTTTTTTTATCCTCCAGCTGTTAAGACTAACTGAAATGGCAGAATCACGATGTGTAAAGTCCTACAGAAAAATGCTATGGATTTTGCTGCTGCTGCTGCAACAAGAAATAACCTTTATCAAAAAAACATCTGCTGAGTTCCCTTTGCAATCACTGGCAGCTGAGACCAGCACACAGTAAATTACCCTCCCTGTTCCGTCAGCTCTCTTCTTTATTCCTCTGATGCAACGTGCAGTGCACCACCAGTAGTTGTTAGAATATTTTTGCTGCATATATGTTTGCTCCTGTATTTATGAATGAAGGGATAAACAACAACAGGGAAAAGGCCACATGCATAAGGTTTGTGTTTAGGGCTCCTAGCCCTTGCATATGTTTAAAAGCAGATGAAAACTAGATTTAAGGGGTGTCAATCTCATTTTAATTGAGAAGATAACCCGCCTCAGATTCTATGGTAGGGAACACCATCTGGATAATAAATAAATACTTTTGGGCACACTTCTGATTGATTCAAATCTGTGTGTAGTTTGGACCTGGCCTAGTTGCTAAGTCCCTTCTTGTCTATTGTTGGAAATTTTCTGAAAGCTGTAGATCTCCATGGGCGTATACTACTGGAGAGTGAGATAACAAAGGCTATGTTAACTAACAAATCATGTTCCCAGGGCTATGGAGCTGCTGACATGATGGCTGGTGCTTCAGTGTCAGGTAGGGCCCTGCTTAGCCCCCTCTTCATTGGCTCGTGAGACTTTGGAAGGCCTCGTGCATTGGTTACATGTAGGACTTCCTGTGGAGAAAAGTCAAACCCAGTTTGAAAGGCCCAAGAAAAAGCAAATTAAATCACAGCTTTCTATTGTGCAGTCAGATAGCTGCTTCACATCAAGCCTGGCTGCTGTTGCAGAGGGCTGGTTCATGTGGTTGGGTCTGCATCACCTGTGGATACCATGAGAGTATGGAGAAACCAGATCCTTTGAAAATAAAGCAGTCATGGTGTAGGTAGCACCATGACTAGTAAATAAATAAATAAACACTTAAGAGGGTTATGGTGGGGACCCTATCTACGTGTCCACCCCATGCCCATTGTTTTGGCTGCTCTTGGTCCTCTGGAGGGAGACTGCAGAAGGGGAGAGCAGCATGGCGCTGGAAGGCCAAGGCGTGTGGTGCTGGTGGATCTGCAGCTGTAGGAAGGGGGAACATGGTTTATGTGCTCTTCAGAGGGGTGACAATAGTCTGTTCCTTCCTTGAGAGGAAGTGGGGAAGGTGGCCCTGCCTCAGGGATTCTGCATGTGGAGCAGACTGCTCCCCTTGTGCATTTACTCTTCCTGTTTATGCATTGATCCCATCAGCATGGCAGTTAAAAGCAACTCAGATCCTGATAGTATTTTAATATATATGGTCTGCAACTGTAAAGGGCTATTCCCTACTTATATAATTCAGTATTTTTTAATTACTTGGTGTACTTTAGCCTCTTTGGAGCCTTCAGCTTGTTGTGCTTGCAAAACTATTTATATTCTGCCTTGCCTTGGGACTACTTTCAGAACAGTCATTATTCAACCTTTCCAAAGAAAAGTCTTTAAGCTCTGGAAGCAGACAATAAGAACTTAGAAGGTACACATCACAACAAATAATACTACTTGCATCAAATTCTATTAATTATTTTTAAATATCCTTCAGCTCAATTACAGAGGAAACTATTGGCCTCTTGGCTTAGAATAAAAGCAGAGAGGCTGCATGATGGGCTTGATTGTAAGCATTCCCCTGAGCTCTGGTGGGAATGGAGAACAGGCTTGTGTTCACTGCCCTCACTGTGTACATAAGGTCAATGTATCAGAAAATAGCCAGTGGAGCAGCTAGTTTCAAGAGCTTTCATACGCTGACTATGAATTTTATCGTTAATTTTCCTTCTAAGTTTGATATTAATCTCTTATTGCATTATGCACACAACACAAATATTTTTTTCTTTATTTCTAAAGGAAGAATTAAAATACTCCCAAACTGTCTACCCACTTCACAGAAATATTAAGCAACAGACCCAAATGTGTGATAAGATGGGAATCCTCTCTCTCTGGGATTTCACAAGGGGATAGGAAGTCACATGTTGTCACAGTGGTATGTTTTCTCATAAAACCAGTGAGTCATTGCCACCAAAATGATTTCAAGGAAGGATCACAGTTTCAAAATTGTTTGATTTAGAAAGTAGTGGGAAAATTTTTTAGTTTTGAAAAGACTTGTGTCAACATTTTCTTAATGGAAAACAAAAATTGTTTGAAGTAATATTTTCCTTTGAAACTCGGGCTAACTCAATACAAACTTAAATGATTAGAAGGGAAATATTTTGAAATTAATATTTTAAAATTAATAAGGACATGTTTGATTCACTGTCACCCACTTCATGTTCAATTTTGTGGATTTTGATATCTTATATTCTTCTAACACGAGGAAGCTTTTCTTGACTTGTTCATAGTTATACAGACTCTGAGAAAAATGTATTTGGAGTAGATAGCCTGACTGTACTTTTAGTGAGGTCTCCCACGACTGACCATAAAGTAACAGACATTCATTACTCACATTGCCTCTTTCTTGAATTGGCTTTGAGATAGCCCACATATCCTGTTTGCATGTTACCTATCCCTGAATGACATTTTGGAAAAAATAAATCCTAAATGTATCCTTTTGGGGTATTCAGAACATCCTGGACTTGTTACACCATCTCTTGATTAGGATAAGCTGGGAAGATGCTGTCCAGGTCACCTGCTTTCAAGTACCTATTTTGGGAGGTGAAAAAGGTAGTAGTTGGTAGTCTAAGAAAAAGTTGTTTTTAACTGTCTTGAAACACATATACATCTTCAAAAATATTTTTAAAAATGAGAAAAAATTGCACCTGTTACGTGTCAGTGTTGTCACAGTCTAACCTGGCGATTTCTAAAATTCCACTTCCCTGCTTGCTGGTAACTGTTATTCACTCAAACTCACGTTGCAGTGCCAGTATAATGCAAAATAAGCTGTGTACAGGTATAGTGACCTAACTGGCAACTGGTATTCTATCTGAAGTATAACATGCTCTTGTGAACTGGGCAATGTCAAATTTCACTGTATATTTTGCAATCCTTTTTATAGCCCATCACTTTGGTTTTACTAATCTTATTTCAATTTCCATGCCATAAATACACAGGAAGGCAGGGCCATATTTTCAAGAAATTGTCCGAGAGCTTTCCCATGCAACAGGAACCACCAAATGCCTGACCCAGTCACAGCATACTTACAGTGGGGGCTGCTTGTGACTGATTTGTAATCAGGACAAAACTTGCCTTAAGTTCCTCAGACAGCTTAAACTGTAGGGTATTTAATTCAGTTTTGGAAAAGCCTCATTTAAATCTTGATTTCCAAAGAGGTGGGACAGCAAAGATGGGGTGAAGGGACGTGTGTCAGGGCAAAGAGAGCATGACATCCCTGCCTGATAGTCCATCACAAGTAGGACCATGCCCAAAAGTAAATGTTCTCAAGTATTCCTCTAGCTGTGAACTATAAGGCCAGCAAAGCCAGGTGTTGATTCCTGGACTCATCCGTTGCTGTTCTACAGAATGCCTAGGTTTGACTTTAAAATTACCTTTATCTCTAAGTACTCTGCTGAAATAGGGCCTCCCAATTACTGAATAGCAAAAGGTGTTTTATAATTTGCAGTTAAAGCTGTGACAGTTAGAACCTTCATTTATTTTCCTTTTACATAATAGTGAGGCCACA